CTTCCGGTTCAGTCCGGAGCGCAAGCATGAGATCCATCCGTCTTCGTGGCAACCCTTCGGAAGTGGTCCACGAAATTGCATTGGAATGAGATTTGCTTTATTCGAGGCTAAGCTGGCGTTGGCTAAACTCCTTATGAAATACCGTTTAGAACCGGGACCTAACACAGAGATCGGTGAATTGACCACTGATTGCAAAGCAGTTACTTATACTCCCAAAAATGGAGTTTATGTTAAAGTGGTTAAACTATGAACTTCATTGCACCGTATATTCAAATTTAAAGTTCATGCATATGTGTGAAAGTTATAATTTCTTTACACAATATAACGTATCATATGATATATTTATAAATTGTTTGATTAAAATAATTGTCATGTAAATAAATTTTAAATTAATATTTTAAATAAGCCAATTATAAATTATTAGTTATAATTTATAACTAATTTATGTTTTAAAAGGATAAAAATAAAATTATTATGAGTTATATTATCATATTAGATATACTGTACTGTACGTATTACTTATCAAACATATTTTCAATAATATTATTTATTAAAATGTTTAAGATAACCATTATGAAAGTAAAATAATTGTTTTCAAAACAATTTGTAAGTTTAAGGTTTTATCAATTATGCAGTGCTTTATAATAAATAAATATACAATAGTACAAATGTCCTAAAATAAAATTCTGTTTATACAATACCCGTACAGTAGTAATATTTTAGTACATTTTAATTAGAACTATGATTCTATTTGAAGTATAGAATTAAATAAATTATCATTAAACTAAGCACCAGTATCTTTAATTTGATTATTATTACTGCCATTTTATTACCGTACTTATGGTAAGTTAGTCGTGGTCAAGTATGTTTAAATCAAACACTTCTGAAATAAAGTTTTGTGTCTAAAACATTAAAGTCTTCTTAAGTAATAAGTTTTTAATATTGATACCTTGGTGGTCAGTTTTGATTTGTTATAATTGTAGATTATCAAAACATTTAAGTGCTTTTAGTGCTCAACATGATAAACCTTTATATATATTGTGGATAAATTGAAGTATAAATATTAATTCTTGCTTATTGTAATACAGTAATATAACATACGATAAGTAAGACATTTTTATAAACTTGTTCATAATACCATTTTTTAATTTGTATATTGGTGCATAATATTTTTTACAAAAATGTTATGGTTAATTTTGTGTGCAATTACTGTGACTTTAATCGCATATTTATATCGACAACGAGTGAGACATATGTCGATATTAGAGCGAAATGGTATTCACGGACCCAAACCCAGTCTTATTTGGGGAAATATGTTTGAATTCTTAGAAGGCAGATCAGTTGACCGAGATGCAAATTGGATTAAACAATACGGCAAAATAATGGGCTATTATTTTGGATTTAGACCAACAGTATTGATAGCTGATCCAGACTTGGCAAAGAATATTCAAATTAAAGATTTCCAACATTTTGTTGACAGACCGCACGGAACTACTAAAAATGGCATTAATGCCGATTCACGTGAAAAGTCAATGTTGACCAGGCTAATTGGCAAACGATGGAAAGAAGTGAGAAGTGTTTTGACCCCTACTTTCAGCGCATCTAAACTCAAGACAATGTCTCCTATAATGGAGGACACCATCAATAATATGATGAATATTATCGACAAAAAGTCTAAAACCGAAGAAGAGTTTGATATTTACGATATGTTTCAGAACCTGACGACTGATGTGATCGGAAGGACAGCTTTTGGGGTTCAGAGTAATGTCCAAAACGAGGAAAACAATAAGTTCTTGAATGCCGCCAAAGCTTTGTTTAATATGAAATTCAATCGATGGATATTTCTGGTGATCTTATTCTTCCCAAAACTTGATATCATTTTATACCCATTCAGACGATTGGAGATTATAATCAAAAGTAAGTTAGGAAAGTCTCCAAATGATATCATCTTTGGTATCGCAGGAGATATCATTCAACTTAGAAAACAAAACCCGAATTCTCGTCGAAAGGATTTATTGCAACTAATGTTAGACACAAAGATGTCGAGTGAAGAGATGTCTTCAATGAGTTACGAACGCATGACTGCCAGTAATGATAGGGATATTCAAGTAAATGCTCAAAAAGGTGTTAAAAATGGTACAAATGGTGTAAAACATAGCAAATCAGACATATCCTTAACTGATATAGAAATTATAGCAAATTCTGTGCTGTTCTATGAGGCCGGGTATGAGACCACGAGTACTGCCCTGGGATTCATGGGACATATTCTCGTCAATTATCCTGAAGTCCAGGAGAAGATCCGCGAAGAAGTGCGAGAACTGTATGAAAGTGATGGCAAACTAGACATCAATACAGTAAACAAATTAGATTTCATGGAATGTGTTCTCAACGAAACCATGAGATTATATCCGCCGGTCATTACATTCGTGTCGAGAGAGTGTCTTCAGGACTACAAATACAAAGACATAACAATCCCAAAGGGCTCTGCAGTTAGATTTGCGACTCATTACTTACACCACGACCCGGACTACTGGCCCTCACCCGAGAAGTTCGACCCCTTCCGGTTCAGTCCGGAGCGCAAGCATGAGATCCATCCGTCTTCGTGGCAACCCTTCGGAAGTGGTCCACGAAATTGCATTGGAATGAGATTTGCTTTATTCGAGGCTAAGCTAGCGTTGGCTAAAATCCTTATGAAATACCGATTAGAACCGGGACCTAACACAGAGATCGGAGAATTGAGCACAGAATGTAAAGCTGTTACTTATACCCCCAAAAATGGAGTTTATGTTAAGGCGGTTAAAATATGAGGTTTATATTCTTACATTTTATACAGATATGATATGAATGAATAAACATAAAATTAGTGCAAATAAAGTGCATGTACAGTATGTGTATTTATCATTAAGTAATACAGTATTTATCATTTATTTTTCAGTACACTTCAATACTTTTAATTAGTAGTTGTTTTATTAATTTGTTTGATTTACTTTATTAGTCAACTTAATATGAATAACGATTTATTAAAAAGGGTACAATGAAAATTCATTAAGTGCTTAGTAATTATAAGCAAAAGCTTTTCAATCGCAGTTTAGTCATTCAAAGTAATATTTCTAATGTGTGAGCAAGTATCCTTTTTAATAAATCGTCTCTTATATAATAATACTAAAGTTATAATTACAATAAATCTACATTTATAGTATATTAGTTTATAATAAAACATATAAATACAAGTACATTTTATAAAGAATAACTCAAAATACACTCAAACCTATTGACTATATTAGAATGGACTCAATAATAAACAAATTTAGACTCAATTTTTAATTATATAACAAGAATCAGAGTACTGTTAGTACTCCCTGTATATGAACTTATAATTCAAATGCAGTATAAGTTATACTAATAAGTTATTAACAACATATTCGTTGAAAATAAATAGCATTTATTGTTCACATTCAGGGAATTGCATTAAATATAATACTTATCGCAGTCAATGGTAACGCCTTATGTTATGGTGAGTGTGTTTAGTAAATTGAGTACATTTGATGTTAATACGATTTTCAATGCAATAGTTTAGCAATAAACCGGTTGCTAATTTTGCACTAACCGTACTTTTAATACTTCTGTGCACTCATCGCTATAAAAGCAAATCACATTACTATTAAAATCATCACTTGAATATAATAAGTAATTAATTAGTAATTTAATTTTCAAACTTGTATTTCTCACTCATTTGAGTAGAAGTTAAATAATTAGTAATTCTGTGATTGATTCGTAACCAAAAATGTTGACATTAATACTGTTGGGAACAGTAATTGCTTTAATCGCGTATTTATATCACCAGAGAGTGAGACATATGTCGATATTAGAGCGAAATGGTATTCCCGGACCCAAACCCAGTCTACTTTCGGGTAATATCATGGATATGGCGAAGACTAAGTCAGTTCCCCGACAGACGGAGTGGATTAAGAAGTACGGAAAGATTGTGGGCTATTATAACGGATACAAACCACAGGTTCTGGTGGCGGACCCGGACTTAGCAAAGAATATTCAGATCAAAGACTTTCAATATTTCGCTGACAGACCGCACATGACTTTAAAGCATGGCTTACACCCAAACCCGGCCAATGAGGGGATGATTATTAGACATCGGGGAAAGAGATGGAAAGAAGTGAGAAGTGCTTTGACCCCCACTTTCAGCGGATCCAAACTCAAGACAATGACTCCCATCATAGACGACGCCATCAATAATATGATGGATATAATGGAGAAAAAGTCTAAAACTGGAGAAGAGTTTGATATTTACGATATGTTTCAAAACCTGACGACTGATGTGATCGGAAGGACTGCTTTTGGTATTCAAAGTAATGTCCAAAACGAAGAAAATAATAAATTCTTGAATGCGGCTAAAGATGTGTTTAATATGAAACTCAATCGTTGGATATATTTTGTTGTCCAATGCTTCCCTAAAATTGATTTAGTTTTGTATCCATTCAGAAGACTTGAGGAGATAATTCAACAACATTTGGGTCTCTCACCGAATGGCATACTCTTAGATATGGCCCGAGATATCATTCAACTGAGAAAACAAAACCCGAATTCTCGTCGAAAGGATTTATTGCAACTAATGTTAGACACAAAGATGTCGAGTGAAGAGATGTCTTCAATGAGTTACGAACGCATGACTGCCGGCAATGATAACGATATTCAAGTGAACGGTCAAAACGGTGCTAAAAATGGTACAAATGGTGTCAAACATAATAAATCTGATATTTCGTTAACTGAAGATGAAATCAAAGCCAATTGTGTGCTGTTCTATGAGGCCGGGTATGAGACCACGAGTACAGCCCTGGGATATATGGGACACATTCTCGTCAATTATCCTGAAGTCCAGGAGAAGATCCGCGAAGAAGTGCGAGAACTGTACGAAAGTGAAGG